ATAAGCTTCAGCTTCATTCCAAAATATAGAAAAGAAAGTAAATTTTGAATTCCAATTTTTGACATAATTCGTAAAAAAAACTCCACTTTCCACTGGATACGAGATAGCCACCTAATGCCATGAACTAAGTTTAAGATATGTTTATGTCTTACTTCTCTTATACTGTGCTTCATAACTTGATTTCAATTGGAATATATATTTTTCAGCATCAATTTTTCTATATTATATTAAATATTTATTTAATTTTTATTAATTCCTTAGTTTTAAAATACATAAGCAATTCGTTACTTAATTTTTTCATTTTTCTTAAAAAATTTTAATGCAAAGTTTTACATTGTTTTTATTTATTTTTTTCCTATTGTTTTATTCAAACGAGGTACTATCAATAAATTTTCTATTTTTCTTGCATATTATTCTTTCAAAACTTTTTCATTTGGGTATAAGGTGGTTTTTGAGTTAAGCTGTACAGGATTGGTTGGTGTAACATGTAAGACGTAAAGTATTGCATAAATTTAGCCGCTCTTTTATCATAAAAAGCAACAATAATTTGTAATTCAAATATGAGCTTGACTACCGATATCTTACTAAAGAGAATAATATTTTGAATGAAGCATTTTTCTTGTTTGTAGCATTTTGTTATCTATTCAGTTAAAGCTGAGATCACGTGGTTATCAATCAAATGACATTTACCGGTTATAAAAATAATATGTGAGTAATTACTTTGTTTTTACAAAATGTACCTCATTTCAATCATAATTTCATAAAATTATCCCCAGTTACATGATTAGACATGTTTTAAAAATTATTCTTTCAAATTAAATGATCTGCAAAAGAAGAGTTTGAAGAAGCTACATGACCATTTATTGTTATTGATTATTTGGTCTGTTATATGAGAGAAACAGTAAGGAGTAAATAGTTTAAAGATATGGATTAGATATATTTGGCAAAAAATCATAACAATCGTCTTAAAACTAATGAAGCCCTTAAATGAGTATTAAGTTGTTTACGATTAAGACGAGCAGAAGAAAACTGCGGTGATTAATGAATAAAATAATTTGTATCATAGAACAGCGGTTGATTTTTTGTTACTATGTTTCATCAGCATTTACAGTCGTAGATGATTAAGGTTGTTGTTTCTTGAATCAAAGCTATTAAAAACCTAATAAAACTTTGAGCAAACTTTTTTTAGTATCAAAGAATAGCAAGAGAGTCAAATTTCAGAACGGTTTACCAAGTATTTATTTCAATATCATGTACAAAAAAATTAATCATTTTGTCACTAATTAACATTGGATCAATGTAGCTAACATTACACAGTTGGACTATTCTTGTTATTGTTAGTTACCGTAGTATTCAGAAACATATACTTTGTTGAAAAATTTTTTCACCACATCTTCGCTGATGTTATGACGTTGCGTTATTGTCAACTATTTACAGACTGAATTACAGATATAATATTTTCGATTTCCGATCACATAAATATCCTTTATTATTTTTTTTTTTTTTTGTTACATTCGGGGATACATCAGATAATTCAATGCATCACTTATTGAAAAAAAGTTACATTTCAGATTATGCACACTGACACACTCTGTCATGATCAGGAAATGTAACTTTTTTCTCTCAATTTGCAATGCATTGCATTGAATTTGGGCTCGATTGATTTTTCAAAGTGCCAGCTTGGAAGCTCTTCTCCTTATTTCGGGTTTAAACAGCTAGATAATTAGTTATTAACCGTAATTTCTTACAATAGAGAAGTTGGTAAAGTAGAAACTCCCACCGATGTACTGAATCCCTTTGAACATCGATTACGTAACCTGATCATTATGTAACTGTATATGTGCTTGACTTATAATTATATTGGGAAACAAATATTCCAATTTTCAATGCGTATTTTTTGGCAATCACATTTTTAAAGAACGAAAATGTCAGTGATGTATAAGGTTGAAGTAAATAAAAATGCAATTGAGCTTCAGAGCAAATATTTAAAAAACATACTTTTTCACGTTAAACAGATAAATATAATTTTACGCATAAAACTATGAGTATTTACAAAATGAATTGACCATAATTTTTAATTATTATGGAAATAGTAATATTTTGTATACAAGCTGGCTTCCACACTAGGGATTAATACTTTGGGATTGTAAAAGTATTAATAAGTACAGTTGAATGCACTTGAAACAATACATTAATGTCAGCCCACCGCACATCCAATTAAACCTCGTCTGTCTTTATAGTTTTTTGTTAAAATAAACCTTATGATTATTTATTCAACTGTAAATTAACAGTACATGTGTATATTTTTAATTGTTAGCTATTAATATTGTTATTGCGTTTGAAATAAGATTTATGTACAGTTTTTCGATCAATCATGCTTTTTTTATAACACATATAACCATTTTTATATAATGAGATTGCATTATTCATACATGACTATATAAAAGAGTTACATTTACACTAACATCTTAGTACTTTTTTATGAGCATATACTTAAAATAATGCCATATTATTTTCGAAGTTATTTTCCGATTATCAACTAATGATTAAAAATAAAATTAACAAGTTACATGAAGAGTATTGAAAGCAGAAAGTTCACAATGATAGTATATAATATCTTTAGTTCTTTCAGAATATATATTTCCTAGATTATAACAATTAGTACAAACAATGCATGATTGTCTTAAACAAATGAATTTTATTACCATGGGTGCAAAGCCTTAGCGACCTTTGTGCCTTTTAATCACGTTGAGCCTACAGGCTGGCAGTAGTAGTTTTCTTCCCTAGTGGCGCTTATCACCAGGGCAAACCAGTCATCCTGTAAAAGTGATCAGAATATGTTCTGCCATGTTGAAAAAAAAAAACCGAACTATTTATAAATGTTTTGAACTCCCTCCCCATTTGTAGCACCATTGATATGTATGTCGAGTTATCCTGCCCTTTTTAGATCAACATGGCGGCAGCCAAAAAAAGCTGGCACTTCCTCCAATCACATTTACAGGTTCACTAAGGCAAGTATGGGACCTGAGGGCTTCGGTGCTTGCCCTAGTTTGAATATACGTCAGGTACACTCTATGTTTTCTTACTGAGGGTACAATAAACATCCAAAGCTAAAAAATCGACTGTGGTAAGTAGAGACACTATTTCCTACTTTGGGACGTTTTTCGTGATCTTTGGAAGTTTACTGCGCCTTGGGTAGAAAAAATTGTGTTAGTAAGGCTGTACAACAGTTCCTCGGTTCCAGGCATAGCCCATAGTGATGGCGCTCATGCGGCTAAAACAACCATTTTGCCCTGGGGTCAAACGTAATTTGAGTGCCCTAAATGTGACCCAAAGGCACAAAACAGCACTTTGTGCCCATGGTAAGAAAAATGTCGTTCACAACTCGAGTACTTACATACAACAATGTTTCACTTTAGATGCGTAAATTTTCTTTGCACCCATAGTATGATAATTAATGTTAAAGCTAGGAATTTCATTGAATTTAACTTGGTTGGAAGACTAATTTGAATAAGAATAATTTTCAACATTTACAAATGGTCCAACGTCACAACTGTTGACTTAGTATAAGATTTAATGATCATTTGAGAATACATTTTATTCCATTTGAAATTATTAATTTATATCTGTTTCGTACAATATAAGTATTAATTTTTGAGAATATTTTCTCACGTGTAAGATTATGACAAAAATGTGATATATATTACGAGTTAGCACCACGTAAAGGAAATCAAAAGAAGAAATAGATCTGACTAGCACCTTAATTACAAATACTTAATCATAAGAAATGTTAACATTGTAGTAAAATGACATACTTGTTACATTCAAAAGATCACGCAAATTATGAAGTGTTTTTACATTTATAATATTTTTTCACAACATTCACAAGTATTATATATATCCATCCATGTATACTTAAAAGTTTCTACGGAGAAATTAATGTATATATTATAATATATAATTATAAAATGTTTCGGTAAAAAATACAATATTCCATAATATATTAGTATCTTTAAAAAAAAAAAGAAACAAAATATTATCGACTTTGATTACATACCAAGCTCAACGTTAAAATAAATTTCTGACTTGGTAATAATAATAACGAAAACATTAAAGCTTTAACGGTACTCAGCTATGATATGAATAAGAAAAAACGTGTAAAAAAAATCGCTCAATTGTTTGAAATACAAATAAGTATAAGGACCAACTTTTCTGTTTTATCATATAACAGAGTCGCAAGTATCAAAATAACAAGTTATTATGCTTGTATATCTCAGTAAAAAATTATTAGTTGAAAATGTAGCTATCAATTGTTGCTTCAATTATAGCTATAATCAACTACAATGTACCTATAAATGTTGCTTATTATTAGCTGTAAAATGTAGGTGCTTATAGCTATAAATTTTGCGCGAATTTAAAGGAAAAATGTTTCTAAATCTGATTTTTTTTTAAGTTATATTAGCCATGTATGGTGTTATCATGTGGATGATAATTCAAAAACTGGGGGATTAAAGAATTTTTGGACAATATTTAAAAAATTTTATATTAATAAAAAAAATGTTTTCCTATTTTTTTTCTTATTTAAAAGTACTTGAAGCCCTCAGTTTTGGTGAGATCATATGGATGATAACACCACTAGTGGCTATCATATTTACAAAAAAATTAGATTGAGAAACATTTTTTCTTTGAAATTCGCTGAAAATTTATAGCTATAAAGACCTACATTTCACAGCTAATAATAAGATAAAATTATAGGTACACTGTACTTGATTATAGCTACAAACGTAGGTCTTTATAGCTATAATTAAAGCTACAATGAATAGCTGAATTTTCAGCTAATAATATTTGGCTGAGATATGCCTTACATGAAAAAAAAAAAAAAAAAAAAATCTCAAATAACCAAGCGATGAAAAATCCTTTTTCGCGTACTGAATTGCAAGCGAAACTCGAGTGAGTGCCAAGCTGCACTCATCTCCCAACATATTTCCCTCCTCTGCCGGCTACTTGCGGACATCGGCAGCGACCTCGCTCCCGTGGTGGCTCGACGCCTTGGACTTCCTCTCGGGGTCCATTGCGATCGATATGAACTCCTCGGAGATGCGCTTGTCGAGGCCCGTGTAGGTGCGCGCCAGGTCGAGCTGGTCCTCGCCGATGGGGGCCATGTGGCCGCGGGAGGGCTGCGGCCCGTCGGGGGAGCTCGAGTGCGAGCGCTGCTGGTGCAGGCTGCTGGACGAGCGCCGCTGCTGGCGGGCCTGCTCCCCGGTGTCGGAGTGCTCGGACGAGTGGCGGCGCCTCTTCAGCTGCTTCGAGCGCTTTTTTTCGAAATAACAAAAAAAAAAAATAGTTATTATGGGTGGCTCTGAGGGTTTGGATCTAGAAACGCTGCGCAGCGAGACCTGGCAAATTTTGAAAAATGACGAGAAAAAATCATTGTTTCATTAGCTTTCAATGACGGTTGAACCGAGAATTTTTCTCGTAAATTTTTTATTGAGTCGACGTTGGCGAATACAGGTATATCTAATATGCAGCACCTACGTGGGGCGGGGGGAGACGCGATAAAGAAAGAATACGGAGACAATGGCAGCGAAAGCATCCGGGCGAAATTTTAACAAGATTCCCATTCCTGAGATCTTTATCATCGTTTAGCAAAACCCCTTACGTGCCTCATCTAATAGCCAGGGAAAGCTTTGGCCTAGCGATGGAAAACTTGTGTGCTTGGCGGTAAGAAAACTTGAATACCGGTAGTACAGAGAAGAAAAAAATAAATAAATAATAAAAAATATCGCGTGGCGCGAAGGAGGGAGTTAATTAAGGATGATTTAACGCCATAGTGCTATAGAAATTGACTCACAATTTGCGAGGGTGGCCTGGCTTGGGGAGGATAGGCCATGTGGGCCGACAGCATCGGCATGGGACCGTAACTTGCTGAGCCTGGTGGTGGCGGCTGTGGCGGTGCATATCCTGCTGCTGCATACTTCCCAGCTGCCGGGTGCATTCCGTACGGAGTCTACGTGTAAGAAGCATGCAGTGTTTATTATTATTATTATTATTATTATTTATGTTGTTGTTGTTGTTGTTGTTGTTGTTGTTGTTGTTGTGGCTATCGTTATCGATACATATTTTTTCTTTGAAAAATTTGTTTATTATCATAATAGAGTCCTAAAATTATTAGTTGTGACCCTATAAATTAATGGTCGATGACATATAATACGTGGCGAGACAAAATTGTTATGTCTGATTTGGAAACTTTTAAGAGCCTATTTAAAAAAACCAGTTTGGTGAAATTATGAAATTTCCTTGTCATAATTTTTTTTCTGATAATTCTGGCCGGGTGTTCATAATACAGGTAAAATGAGCTACTGGAAAGGAGCTATAAAATTATATCAAGTATCACGTTATAATATTATTTTGAGATCGGATGTTTTTCAAATACAGTTTTTAAATTAATAGGACATTTTTTTCCTCAACTGGTGATTACAGTCTTGTAAATTTTTCCTTAGAAAAGCCTGAGTTTTTTTTTTAAATTCTCCAGTTTCGCCCCATTAAAAAAACTTCATTTGGTACACCGAATTCGTGCCCAATTGAAAATTAACTTAGCACCTTCCGAGATGGATAAACATAAATTTTCCTCATATAAACTTAAATACTAGGCACTTGGTTTGAAGATTTGTCGTCCGTATAAAATAGTCAGACTTGCTACTCTGATGAAAATACATCAAAGGCTCACCCGTTGTTCATCCATTCTATCCCACATAGCACACTAATTTAACGTCTCAATTGTGCTAGACAAATGAAAAGGTAACGAGGGACATTTTATACGCCAAGAAAAACCGCTTACAACTTATTCAACGCATAAGAGTAAAAGTCCGTACGAGCCGCAAGAGGTACGTCCGTACACCCATCAGCTTCGGTGGGAGAAAAGAGGAGAACGTAAGCACCATGTCCTCGGGATTCCTAAATGTAAGTAGGCAGCCGATCGCTCGCGGCTACTTTCGATGCGCCCTGCATCTCCACCATCGCGATGCCCGTATATATACATCTCCCGCGTCGTTTTCTCTCTCGGCTCTTTCACTTCGCGACGGGCACATCTCGTGTACGCTCGACTGGACCACCCGAATCTACTTTCTTCACCTTTACTCTCTTTGACCAAAAACGCGTGTAACCAGTGACTTTGTGCAGAAGATCCATGTAGGAAGAGACCCAAAAGTCGCGGGTATCGTGGGCTCGCATCGGATGCCGATCGGAACAAACGAGAAAGTCATGTACATCGGTATAGGCAGTCGCTGAAGCGAGAGGCAGAGGGATTGCAATACACCTGCGCAATAATTTTCCGACCCGCACGTACATACGTATATATATGATACGCGTGTGTATAATATACGCATATATAGCGGAGAGGAATGTAAAAGGAGGACGCGAGCGCGTTGGCGAGGTGTGCTAATTTTCCCGTGGATTTATCTCGGAATTCTTCAGCTTCTCTATACACCTCGTGGTAGGGTATACATATACGCTCGTCATCTAACAGTCACCGTGACTTTTTTTTCTTTTATGATCAGCTTCGTATCTATGATCACGTCCACCCTCCACACGGCTGGAAGGAGCTTGACTCGCTCAGATGTTTATTTATGCGAATGAGATTGGATTCTTGGAATTCTTTTCTCGACGAATTTATCGATGTTTACTCGGAAATGTATGGACTTGGATTGATTTTTGATTGTGCATTTTTACACTATGTACTACTCACGTGTCTTTCGTCACCTGGAAGATCGGTTCATTAAAAATACAGCTCAAACATACAATTGAAACTCTGTTGATTTGACGAATCTATATATAAAATTACTGTAAATTACCCGCTCTGATTCCATATTCTGCGTGTGACATTAAGGTGGCTCATCTGAAAATTAAAAACTGGGCTATCAAAGTATTACTTGGAGAAGTTGTTTGTAAATCTTTTATAAACTTCTCTGCTTATAGGATAAAATCACGAGATAGAGTCGTTTGAGCACTCGGATAGCACGGGCTCCAATGGACGTACGAAATTTTGACACCGTAAGTCATGCGATTACTTTTCGTAGAGCTGGGCCAAGATTACCAAAAACTAGAGTCATAAATTAGAAGCCATTCCATTTGTAATGGTTAGTTGAAAATTTTTCGCTATAGGAAAAAATCGAAAGATATTGATTTAAATGCAATCATGTATTGCCATTTACTGTGTTAACAGCATAGGCGAAAGTGGACTGCTATAATTTTTTGTGGTTAATCGCAATTAAACAATAGTTTTTAGAAACTTTCATGTTGGATATTGTGATCTATAATGTGACATGAATGTCTTATTTCATTCAATAAAGAATATTTGATAACATTTTTATGGATATTGACAACTTCAACAAAAATTATCTATTCAGTTGCACATTTGACTCGCGAGTCGTGCATGAACCATCTTAATTGATACGTTATTTTCATTGATGCGATCGAACTCGTGTGATCCAAGTGTTTATTTGATCAACTTTGCGTGGATGAGAAAAATGAACAACAAATAAGCCAAGACCGCTGAGACGGAAATTTCCAACGCACACTGTAGCCGCGAGTCAACTCATTTCCTATAATTATGTACGTTTCAGGAGTAGGTATACGTAATTCAACTACTTTGGCATTTCCGCAGCCGATCGAGCGTGCACCGCCAAGCTCTTTTTTTTTTTTTTTTTTTCTTTCGCCAATACCCAGGTTGGTATATCTAATACTCATTCTCACCGCTGCGCGCGGTTTCTGCCGAGCTTTACTCGCGCGTCCATAGAAAGTCAGATAAATCTCCACGCGACCGGAGGAAAAAGAAAAGATCGAGCGAGTTTACTTCCGATAAGTTCTGTTTCTCTTTTTTCCGATCGACCGCGCTCTTTTTGTTCGATCCTCGCGCACACGTATTGGTACATACACGTGGCTCGAAAGCCTGATCGGCAAACTTTCATCTCAGATAGCGACGGAAAAAAAAAAGAAAAACAAGACTAACGCGATCATGTGTGAACGTTACTCGCTTTACATGTAATTGTATTTTGTTTTCGTCTGAAGAAATAATCTATAATAACAAAGCTCCATCGTAAAATATACTTTTTATTATAATATCCTAAGATTAGGGGATGATGAATATATCGCCAACGTAATTTTGTCAATGATCGAAGGCTTACAATGGAAAACCTGGGTAATAATGCGAAATTTTAAATGATAAATCGTCCAAGTTCAATAAATACTGTCCAAGAGATGGATTTATGGTATATGAAAAGTGCCATGTCAACAAACTGTGTTGGAAGTTAAAAAACATAATAAATATTAATTAATTATGAATACTTCACTTTGTTCCAATGGTTTTGTTTCTAGCAACCCTTTGAATAAAAAGCTCGAACTCGATGAAAGTAAAAATGTTTATAGATTTCAATGACTTTGTTACATACTGAGCAAGACAGTTTTTTGAGTAAAAAGTAACTTTTACTTTTAAGATCGGACCTCCTATAAGCACATCGTGTAAAAAAAACGTGTATACAACATTGAAGCGGTACAGTTTAATTATTATTAAAAAAAAAAAAAGAATAAAAAACTAGTAGTTTTTACGTACATGACAAAAACAGTAATAATATTACGGACAGTAAAATAGTACGGAATCAAATGAAACAACTGGTGTGGAAAAAGTACGTTGCAGTGTAGCTGCGGACATAAATTGAAACAATCTTGACTGAGAGTTCTCAGAAATGAGACGTAATTTGAAAGTAGTGGAATTCTTTTACTCAAGGATTGCTTCACAATGTAAGCAGCTTAGCTACGGTGGTGCTGTCATTAAAAGACTCATTGACAATAGTAAAACTGAATTCTAATTTAAAACAAGAGAATTAAAAGTGCGCATCAAAATAAATTTTATTTCCTAAGAAATCACGTAAGCCCCGTGGTGCCCAAATCCTAACTTAAAACATCTAAATGAAAGCAAACAGCTGTACTCTCGTTTCCAGGTATTCATCGCTCTTCACCCCGACACTTCCTCTATCGAGTCTCTGTCTCACAAACGTCAACATGACCTCTCCCGTCGACGACGATAACAACTCTCCGTGTGAAATTTATCGACACCAGATGGGTCCTCGAAGTGAACGTGCACAGCGAGCACCGGCATCTTCCTCTCGCGCGCTACGGGAAATTCGAATCGGCTACCGAGTGGGAGGCCACAGCGTATACGGGCAAGGTACATATAGGAACGAAAGTAGGACCGGAGAGGTATCATCAATTCGAGTGAAAAATACCCGCGGAAGGTCCCGCGGCAGAGGCAAACGGTTTCTAAAATGCTAATCTCCAGAGCCAACGGCATCGGCCACTTCTCTCTCACCAGTCAAGATACTTTCTGTGGGTGTACAAGTGCGTAATGGTAAATAGGACGCACGTGCGCATCGTGTCCAGCGTGGACGAAGGCACTCGGTGTCACTGACTGATATCCAAAGTCGGAGAGAACAAAGTTTTTCCGGGGTCCTTGAGACGAGCCGTAGCTCATTCTTGGCGCTTGTGTATACAGCAAGAAACTATGGGAGCCTCCTTAAGTTACCGCAAGTCGAGGCGAGATTTTCAAAGAGTCCTGTCTCGGTTTGCATGGTCTCGAATACAATTGAAAGCCACCGGTGAAAAGCCACTCGAAGAAAAATATTTACAGCATGGGTTTACGAATTAAAAATTTTTCTAATTTTTTAACCGTTACAAAGGAAAATAGTTTTTAAATTTTTGTCTTAATCTGCTTTTAAAAAAACAAGACAACGATGAGGGGCAGATCAAGATTTGCTCGAGTCTTTCCATATCGAGAGATTCTCCGAGGCAGAGAAAGTTTTCGCGAGAGGCTGCGCACTCTTTAAGTCATTAAAACATACTTCATAAGTCATTCTAAGTCTTTCAAAGACTTCAGAACTCTCCAAAAGACTTCACATTTTTTACTGGGACTTCAAAAGTGCAATGTAGCTTAAAGTCATTAAAAAACACTTCATAAGTCATTCCAAGTCTTTCAAAGACTTCAGACTTTTTACCGGGACTTCAAAGTTGCATGTAGCTTTAAGTCATTAAAAAATACTTCATAAGTCATTCCAAGTCTTTCAAAGACTTCAGACTTTTTACCGGGACTTCAAGGTTGCATGTAGCTTTAAGTCATTAAAACATACTTCACAAGTCATTCTAAGTCTTTCAAAGACTTCAGAACTCTCCAAAAGACTTCAGACTTTACCGTGATTTTAAATGTGCACAAGTCATTAAAAAAGACTTCATAAGTCATTCCAAGTCTTTCAAAGACTTCAGACTATTTACCAGGACTTCAAAAGTGCTATATAGCTTATATTCATTGAAAAACACTTCATAAGTAATTATAAATCTTTCAAAGACTTCAGGAATTTCTAAAATACTTCAAAGTGCGCAACCTCTCGAGTTTTCGCGCATGGTTTTTTCTCGTTTGTTCCTTGATCCCTCGTTTGATCAATCGCTCTTATTTTCGGTGTAAGAGACGATTCAACATATCATTAGTGTTGCGGACGAGGGGACCAATGATCATTTCCTGCGAGCCATATGTGCTTACGTCGTTGCACCGCCGCGCAATCGAGCTCCCATTAGGCGCGCGTTTCCAATGATCACTCGATAATTCCAGTAGCGCTGGTGCAAAAGAAAGTGAAACCTCCCCGCAACACCACAGCACTGATTTACGATCATTAAAAAATTACGTTTTGCGTTAAATTACAACGTCTCGCGGCGGACATGATGAACAGCCGGTGCATTCGCGAAGCGCGCGATCGTATCGTAACGGCGAGATGGTCATCCACAAGCATTCTAGTCGAGGCAAGATGAGACGCGCCGGTGTTTTGATGCGCGCGATTTCTCTTTTGCCGGTGGCGTGAAATTGTTTGATAAAATGAAAGAGACACTCCAAGGTGGCTTTGAACCTCCGAAGCAGCTGGTACGCGTTGTCGCAATTTCGAAAGTGCCAGGTTGTCGTTAAACGAAAATCATTGACGGGTAATCGCAAGTTTCTTAATTTCATCGATCACCCCAGCGGGAGAAGAAAGGAAAAGCATGATCTTTGGTGAAAACTTTCACTTTGCGCGCGTCGCTTTCGAGAGATATCTTCATTGAAAACAACCAGTGCGATTGTAGTGCCAGTGACAAGAAAAAAAGGCCTATGGTTGCGTCAGCAGAGCAATAAATGCCACCTGATGACACGGACAACCAAGGATCGTGCATAACTTTGGCTGGACAGTTGTTTTGTTGCGTAATTGAAACGATGAGGTGAATAATTTTATTCATTCTCGCAACAATAATAGCTCGGCTCGCGTAATATTTAAATAACGATTTGCATGTACGTGCCTTTTATTTTCTCTTCTTCTCGATTTCTCAAGTCGGTCATTAATGCATTCCTGAGGGTATTTTTTTTTTTTTTTTTTCAATTACAAGCATGTTGCTGCAACATCTAACGACACGCACACACAATCGCCCCGTCATAGCGGGCGCGTAGTTGCGATTTCGCTTTGATTTTAATTACTCCGAACTTTTCAAAAGTATTTTACGTGGGTAATAGCACTGCAAGAGACAGAAGGAGAGAGAGAGAGAGAGAGTTGGTGAAAAAGCTACCACTTTGGTAATTACGGCCTTTGCAGCGAGAGCATCTGTTTCGTAAGGATGCGCCAGGTATTCGTGTTTTTTTATTTTCTTTCCTGTGTTTTAGGTTTTCTTTGCTCCAACATTGGTTTTAACATCAGTGGGGAGTCAATGAAAATAAGTGGAAATGGAAGAACTAATGCAAAATCGAGATTTCCATACAATGGAAAGCCAATTTTGCATTGAGAAAAAAGAAAATCTGGATTCAAAAGAGTTTGCGCGGCTTTAGAAAGTATGTACGGTGGAGGTGTATAATTGACCGTGCAGAGTTGAGAATACATTTAAATGTGGAATCGAAAGAGGAAAATCGACTATCACGTTTGCGATCAAACTTATCGTCTGTAGATATGCACTGGCGTGTGCGTGTTTGGCGTAAATTTAATTTCTTGTGATTTTGCTGTAATTGAATATTTGCGGTATTTTTGACGAAAAAACAATTACATCTTTGACATTGCCAGTACAGAAAAGGACGTAAGTGTCCTCGTATCCGAATAAAATAATTAAAAAACGGCGTCTTTCAAACTCTCATACGTTTTCTCAACCATCGTATGAAATCATTAATAAATAGTGTCAGAAAAGTTAACAGTTTTAAAAATTTATTTTTAAATTAATTTTTGTTTTTATCTTACTGACGTTTAAAGAAATAAAAAATAATGTTACTTGTTCATTACTATAATAAAATAACTTTGTTCCCCACTATAGAGAATTTCTCATATGCTGATAATGATACCATAGTGGCCAGACGTAATTTTGAGTCACAAAAAGCAGCACTTTTTTAAATCTTAAACGTTATGAAACCTTGACTAAAAACTTCATAAAAATTTAATCAAACTTTTAAAACAACGTTTTTCAACCTTTCTCGTAAAATTTCGTATGCTACAAGGGCATACTTTGTCAGTGAAGCTCAATACTGAGAAATATACATTTTTACGAAAAGTAATGTATTCGAAAACTGACCTGCATGAGTGGGTGAACAGGTATGATTGGCTGGACGACGTAGATTGGCTGATGATTCTTGGGCACGTGGTTCTGGGCAATGACCCACTGCTGGACCATATTGCGGGTCTTGAGAGTCTTGCCATCGACGACCATCTCCTCCATGTTAGATGCGTCGTCAGATCTAAGACAGTCGCAGAGCTTAGGTGTCAGAGTAAAGCAGGTGTAACCCGAGACCAAAAGCTCAAAGATGCTCGCGACCAGTAGACCGATGCTTGAGAGCAGGCCTGCCCAGCCTTCTTCTACCTCTACGCTATCATCAGTCTGAAATTGAAACATTTTTTTTTCTTTGTTAGTTTAACTTTAGTGGTATACGATTTTGAAGTCTCGGGATACATATTTAAAGCCACAAATGTTACATGCATGAATTAAGTGCATTTTATGAAAAAAAAAAATCATAAAGTTACGTTTGCCCACCGTTTAGTCAATATACTTAAGAACTTAAGTTAACTTATGGAATTTAATAGTTTCCCAGCAACGAAAAGTAACTACGAGAAAACACTAAAACAACATCTCCAATTTCGTTGAAAATGGTCAAAAAACTCTATTTTTTAACCCTGATGTTTGTTTACCTTACGTCTTTACTTACTCCAAAATATGACCATTGACACATTGCACATAACTTAGTACATATTTTCCAAGGCAATTTGTACTCTAATCATGATTCTATTATATATATATATATATATCGTGGAATAAAGTGTTTTGAGTTGTTACTCATACTTACTGCTAGATAATTAATACAAATACAGTACTAATACCATCCATGATTACTGTAGTTGATAATGATAAATTTGGAAAAAAACTTCGTTGGTAACTATGAGGAGTTCTACGGTCAATATTGTGTTTGAGACACCGTTCGGAACTGACATTTCTATCCTATTTTGAAAATTTCTTTGTGAACGAGGAAAAATTTTAGCCCAAGGCTGTATGTATAAGAGAAAGCTTACATTTCTTAGCATGTAAGTATTACCGTCTTTACTTTATAAAATTTCACTACAGTAAGAGTAGGGTACACGTGCCCCAGACGTTATTTCAGTCATTTACGGAAGAATCACACAAAACACATTAGATTATGAAAGTTAAAGTAGTTAAATAAATTTTAGCACATGTGTGTACATTGTACAAAGTCTTAATAGTATATTATGCAATGTGTACAAGAGAAGCCGCCGGTGAATGTTGTCATCCGCCTAAAACGAGTAGTACAGAGATGAAATTAGGTTTTTTGAAAAAAACGTCAAAGGTGGAAGTCCCAGTACTCGCTCACTTAAGCAGACGGAATGTCCCAATAGTCGATCACTTTTTTCTGTTATAGGCCTTCGTTATATTTTCAAATGAGTATAAACCTTAACTTATATTGAAAAAGTAATTGCTTAGCGTCTGAACAACTACCCGATTTATCTATGTTTTGAAAATTTATATTGATGGAAAAATCAGCCAAATTATCGAATGTTGGGACATGATCGAGTATTGGGACGTCGACTTAGTTAAGTCTATTAATTCGAGAATGCGTGATATGGTCAAATCAAGTATTCAAAGTCAACTGGTATTCAAGAATATGTGTTAAAGCAGTTGAATCCAAGTAATGGAAATCGTTTGATATCAAAATATCTTTTAAAAAAATTTTACATTTATGAATTGAACAAAAATACTAAACTCTTCTGAAAAAACTGAAGTTACTACTCAATTCTTTTAAGTATAACATAGAAAACTGCTTCTTAAGTAATCTAGTTTTAGTGACTTTAGGAAAAAAAAGGTTATTAAATAATCATAGTGTCATAAGTTTGCCTGTCCAATCCAATCTCTAATCAATGTTATTTTTCTCGAACATAACTGGACGGAGACGGGGCATAATCACAGTGTAGATCATAGTCATTATAAAGTCGATAATCACTGTATCAATAACCCCTTTAAAATAAATTCATCACGACATCCATCCTATTATTTGAAGCACGATACACTTACGAAAAAACGTTACAGTAAATGTGTTTTGTACGGCAATCTTACTGCTAACCCGCGAAATGAAAGAGATCAGAACGTTTCCCCGCTCTCCCTCTCTCTCTCCTCAAAGCGCGAGCAACAGCGACAACAATTACTCGCGCTTTCAGTGCGAGAATCTAATGGCGTGTACTTAACTACGTAAAACATATACCCTCGCAGCACTTTGCGTTACACGCGCCTGGCTGAGCGTTCCGAAGCCGATCGTGTTACTACATGCAACACACACACTTTATCTCTCGGACAAATCTGACGCCTCTTTTTCTCTCGTCGAGCATGATCGGCCTGTACGCGCGCACTTTTTTTTCCCCCCGTACCCATGCATTCATCCCAGTATCTACGAGCATCCACGCAAGCGAGCACCCACGTGTGAAAGCTATTAACGCGTGGCTGATTTCGATCTCAAGATTATCCCGTGCACCAGGTTCGATTTCTCGAGCTGGAGTTTGAAAATATCAATTTGAAATCCAGTGTTGTTTGGAAACAGGAGTGTTTCAGGTGTGCTTGGGTTGAGGGAACGCAATGAAAAAAGGAGCTTTGGAGCTAACTTATTCGCACGTTGGTTGCAGGTGCAATTGAGAAACCAATGATTGAAAAGGATTTCTTTTATATTTCGTGAAACGGATATCTTGAATTATTGTGCCTAAGATCTTTCTGTACACATGTAAGGGTATTGAATGGATGAGGAATAATAAATCAGAATTAGGAAATGTTTGGTGAACAAAATTCGCGATAGTGTGGAAATTACCTGTGTGGTTGAAAGGGATGGTGACAATTTCTTGTTGGAACAATCGTCGCTACCAATTGTTTAATAGAGCAATGAAATCAATAGCAATGGAAGGATATCATATTTCCCAAAGTGGCTGACCACAAAAATGTGCCGACCGAATTGAATCATCATGACTGAAGAAACACTTCGTGGCTACTGTGATGACGAATCGATCTTGAACGGAGTAAATGTATGAAAGTGGATCTGTCTATTTTTTTAATGGTTCGGTTCAAGCTTAGCAGTAGAGTTAGCAGTAGAGAAGGGGAAAGCCAATATTTGTTCAACGATGGTAATTGCAAATATATGCAGGGAGAGAGTTTGAAATTTGAATTTTTATAGATTCGAGATAAACACGCGTTGTTGGTCTTTAAGGAAAAATTAGTTTGTGGAAACAAAATTTGGTGCAATAAACCGTTCAAAACTACACTTCTATGGTATGCACACATACACTTTTTTTTACCATTAAGAAATATTAATAGCTTCTAAAATACCATAAAATCACTCCCTCTATCTGGCACATGTGACTGTTTCAATAACAATACTTATCAAATCGTCCTGTTGATCTTCACGTTCGTTATTCAGTTACAAGTGGTGAGTCAGTTTTTCAAAAAAAAGAGACTTTCCTATCTATTCCTTTTTTCTTTTAATTAAATATTCTTTAACGTAGTGTTTATGAATGATATTCATAAATAATAATCATTGGGGGTTTTGCGAGTGCTACGTTGAAGTCTCAACCAAATAAAATAAGCTTGTTGCACTTAATTTTTAATGTAATTTTTTTAAAATTTACTCACAAAATTCATTAACTTAAGAATTTGCAGACATAATTCTTCTAGAATTCTTGGTACAATAATCACTAATATTGAGGTAAATGATCCAATTATCAAGCCACGTCCCTATTATCGAGGGTTTCAGTTATTGTTATTGTTATATTACTAATTATTAAAGTGTGATTTATAAGCAAATGTTAGTTTTTTACAGGTAAAAGTAAGCAATGACTCGATTTATTTTCGAAGAAATACGTAATAATTACACTATGTTCATTTATATGATTGTAAGTCAGACCCCCGACAATAGATATACACAGGGCTCGATAATTGGATCCTCTAGGATCCTATTTGTACATAAAAAAAAAGATCAAAAAATAAAAATCGTTATTGTAAATTGCCTATATCTGTAATCTTTACATTTATCAATGCGGATCACGTTTCTGGATCTTTCACAACCAGGTCACCTTCGGCCGTAGTCCATATCATTAGTATCCGGAAAAATGTCTCCTAAATAACGTTAAAGAGTTTAAAAACGGAAATTACGAGACAGCTCCGGTATCATTACCTAACAAACGTTGCTCTGATCACAAGCCACTCACGCGTGGCAGGATCCAAGTGTACAACAGATTCCCACGCAGTAAACACCAGAGCAAAGTTTCATTCACGCGAAGAAAAAGAGGAGAGACACGTGAGACACAAAGTCAACAGTAGTACAGTAATATTATGCGAACGTGGAACACAAACAAACAAACACACGGATCGCGTCAGCGAGAAAAGGCAGGTAGGTATGCGCACTCGGAAATCCATATTCCTTGACCGCGTTAATAGCCTTGGCAGTGAACTTTCTCTCGGCCGATTTCTTCTTCTCCTCCTTCTTTTTCGATCGAGAGAGAGAGAGAGAGAGAGAGAGAGAGAAAGAGAGAGAGAGGACGAGGAGGAGTCCATGGCACTGCTGTATGGGGTACACCTAGAGCTCGGAAGATGAGGTGTACATAGTTATACACGAGGTAACGCTGACCAGCGACGAAACGAGGCCAACGGCACGCGCTCCTGACTCCGTTAATTGGCCACACTGGCAGCCTCAGCCGATACACCTTTCGAGCAACAACCTGGCGCCTAACTCACTACTCGCGAGAATACGCGTTTGTTGCGGCTAACGCGCAAATAATATATCATCACCGTGGCATTCCACGTAGGTATTCGAGGGCTCGGAATGCCGGAGTATATACGAAATGGGTGTGGTTTCACGGGTCCCTCTACATATCAAAGGATCGAGAGTGATGGATCTGGTGTAGAAGCGCGCTTTTCTTTTTAGCAAATCACCCGATGATGGACGAGGCTCGACCAGGTCTTGATGGGCGTGGCTCATGGGCTGTGGTCCAGAAGGTAGATTTTAACGAGATTCGAGTGCGCCTGGCAAGGACTGATCGATCGCTTGTCGTGGATAACGAAGGAACTACTACCTGTTCCTCGCCTGCCAATTTTCTCCCTTCCACTGGTGATGAACTGAATATGGGTCCTCTGAGACAGTCGTTGGTTCTGGTACAAAAGCGCGTAGGCGTACGCTAGAGTGACACTACATGATTATATGTGTCCTGAATCCCATTTGAGAGCTGTATGATAATGAAAAGCCCTGTTTCGTAATAGAGTCCAGGACAAACATGATGCGGCTGCAGGGTTTTGTGCCAAGAACCAGAGAAGAGGAGCGATCGTGTGGCTCCATCCGA